GTTCTCTCACAGAGGAATTCATAGGTATGGGTGAGTTGCCTGTGGTAAAAGTATTGGGTGGGATGAGGCATTTATGTGAAACGAGGCTGCTTTTTCCACTGAGAAGTCCATTTTCCAGGTTTGGCACCAGGTGTTAAGGGCAACCAAATCAAGGTTTATATCATTATTAGTTGAAATAAGATTATTTGTAATANTTATTTCATTGTCATCTGCAAATAAAAATGCATTTCCTGTGCGTATGACGTCAAAATAACATAAACATACCTGAGAAATAATACGGGGTCAAAAAACGCCACCTTGAATAATCCCAATATTCAAACTAAATTCTCCGGAAATGATAAAGCAGTAGGTAGTGATATACATATTGTGCATTCAAACAACGTTTTTCTCGACTTCTTTCTCAGAGCGAAATTAGTTTATTATTGTAATGGTTAAGACCTCTGTAAATAAACGTTAAATCCTGCCATTTTATAGTCAGAATCGACAGAAACCCTCCTTCCATTGAAGTGACAGTGATTATGAAAACAAAGGGAAAAATACACGAAGACGTTTTCCGTTCATATGTTTTTTACAAGCAAACTTGACTCTTACTGTGTTAGTCCTATATGTTTTACTTCTCTGCTTGTGTTTTATTGAGCACAGTTTTCCACTCAGGCATATATGTAAGCTGGATCCTGTTCTAATAATAATAATAATAATAAAGGTTTATCTCACGAACCTCCGTGAAGCATGCATAAGCATGATCATATGTACAGCACAGTCATATGTACAAGAAAAGAGAAAAAAAATTAAAAAATTGAGAGTCACAGTGCACCGGTGCATAGAGGGTAGCGAGTATTCAGGAAAGCTGAACTGGATTGAATGGTGCAACCCAAGAGAAACATAAGGAGGATAAGGTCACTGAGGAAAATGGTGCGGGTGGTGTAGTGCTCTAACCAGGATGTCAGTGGGAATAGAACAGAACAGGTATCGTTATACCAGATTAACGGTGGGATTTTTGAACGTGCGACGAGTGAAGAATAAAATAAGGAGAGGCGGTTGGCGGATCAATGAGCAGGAAAAGATGAAAACAGGTACAAGAACAGATCAGATGAAACACAACAGAGTTGAAAAATCTGTCAAAGTATATGTATTCAATATACGGTGTGAAACAGTTGACTTCTGTGAGGACACTTGCAATGGCTTCAGTGGCTTCTTTAGAGACAGGCGGATGCAGGTACGCGACCTTGACCGCGCGTGCTTCGAATTTTGGAGTGGAACGTTCCGCTGTAGAATTAGGCTGACAATAAGAGGAGGAATCACTCGAGAGTCCAATTTCCCGTTGG